GTCAAATTTAGACACTTCCATTAATTCGGTTACGTTTTGAATAATAAAGGAATCCTTCGTTTTATTTGATTTAATTAGCATAACTATTAGGACCTCGAGTTTGTGATGATTACATGTAGTAAGGCAGCGTTCAGACTTGTAGCGCTACAGTTGTAGCGCGACGCAGCGCTACAACTGTACCAGCCACATTCGCTATTATGTTTTTCGTCTGAACTCAACGCCGACTCCTTGTTTCTCATGTTTATCTGATCCTGAGCTCCCTTTTTTCTTTAATACTGAATTTTGATGTAGTTTTGATACAGAACACTGTGATGATTGATTTTATATATCGTTGTCGACTTTAATTATCCAGACTCAGGATTGCTATTGATGTTTTGTCTTGCAGTGACGTGCCATGTGATCCGCCGATATACAAAAACTGTTTCAAATCAGTTTCAATTGCTATCGAAATACATCAACATGCTGTAGCGCTTACGAAGTCTGAACGCTGGCCTAAGAAAATATTTATCTATATAACATTCCTGATAAAATGTTATTCAGCAAAATTGTGATTTAAAGGCAGTTGGCAATAACTGATTAATTCTTAGTACTCGTGTAAAAATGTAGGCAGGGGTGCTAAATAGTGGGAAAAATGGCGAAAAAACGAAGTGAAAAGGACAAGAACCTGCGGCAGTACGAGCATCACGTACGGGCGTCCATTTGCGAACGGGCGAGCGCGATGGGCCTCCCAATAGCTGTGTTGCAGATTGATGGGGCCTTATAGGGGTGCCTTCTCTGGAAAAAGTGCTACGCAGCCCTTGCTCAGGAGCGCGGAATCCCTCCCGCAAGGCGTATTAATCCTACTCGTCTTCAAAGATTTATCGCGCTAACTGCATGTAATCATTATTTGGGAAGCGCCGCCCACTTTCAGCTCAGGATTGTGGTGACATCCGAGTGCAACCTACCTATTGATACTTGATATTGCAATCACTCGTGAAGGTGTGGTGGGGGGGGAGTGTCGGAATGAGCCTCCTAGGCTGCCTTTTCTACAAATAATGATCGACAAACGATCCATTCAGGAAGAAAACGACCAGTGGTGGAAACAGCACGGGTGGGCTTATCCCATGCCTCTTGACACCACCGCGACTAATTGCGGAGATATTAACTGCAATCAAGGTACAGCATCGTTGCGCCAAACCCATCAGGCGTCGTACTTGGCCGAGGAGAGGTCGTTAAATGCAGGTCAAACAGCACAAAAGTGTCATCGCTAAGTTTGCTGGAAAGCTGCAGAGGGCTCGGATGTGAGAAAGACCACAAAATATCCAAACAATTGGTGGACCTTTCCACCACCTCAGAGTAGAAGAATAATGCACGGCGCACACTCGGACCAAATCGATCGATGATAACCAAATTACTTGAGCAACTCGGAAGGTCGCCCAAGGGTGACCCATGTAAAATAACTCCTAAACTAGCGAGTAGTTAGGAGAACTGTAGAGCTTGTTGGAAAGAGAAAGTATTGCGCGTTTTGATGGTTTCTTTTGTGCAAAAGATGGTGTTCGAAAAAAGTTATTCTCGTCTGAAGCGCTTGCGATTTAGCATTAGCGCGTCCGTAGCCCATCCAAAATATTTCACGAACAGGGAAGGATTCAGATGGCGAGTAGGTGGAAAACGCAACAGTGCAGACACTGTTTCAACATGCCCCTTCTGTTTCTCAAACGCCCCACTTATAAAACAGCACTCATCCCCAGAAAAAGCCTCGCGATTCCCATCCGGCCAACAGATCTGCTCCACTGTTAATTTGTTACGGAATCATAACGCAGTCGCCAGCGCCTGCGAATAGTTACGTATGTAGTCCTTTTCGGCAGGCAAACAATTTGAGCCCGAAAGGGGTGGGTCGTACCAGGATCCCTTTCCAAGGGGGGGGGGGTTGTACCGACACCGCCATTTCACACATCACGATGCTGTACCCTGACTGTAATTACTAGCACGGAGTAGCATTGGTTTGGTGATCTTATATCTCAAATATCTTCAAGTATATCAGTACCCGTTTTCGCCCTCCCCCCCGCCAACCGCCGCTGTCTTTTTTTCACATTAACACGTCACTTCCTGGCTCAGTCTTATCACAGTAGAGGTCAGGGTCGGACGTGTGTCGCGATATCCGCGACGTGGGAGCCGTACGTAGCTGGGAGCAGAAGAGACCCATTCTCGCAGGAGTTAAGGAGCAGAACAGCGGTAATGCTTGTGTGACACTGTTATCGCTTTTGTATTAGGTTGTCCGGAAAGTTCTCAGCGTTTTGTGCACCTATTCTTTGTACATTCACTGCTGATTAAAAACTCA